GGCCACCTCGTGAAACAAATTGAGGATATTTAGCTGGGGCTATGGGAGATATTTGTGCTGCCAGTGCAGGAGAGCAGCAACTCAGGGCTGAACAATCAGACTTTTACTGACACTCCCGCTTGCTTTTAGTTGTAGAGTTTTTGCCTACCTTTTACATATTAAAATGCTAACCTGTGGTATGTTGAAAGTCCCACTTGTGTGATATACTGTACTGTGACAGAATTGAGTATCAGTGCTGGTCAAATGCATGTTCATTAACTACACATCTGCAGTTTGGATTCAGCTCTTCTTTGGTCTTTTTAGTCAATGTGGTCAGAGCCTTTATTTTCTCCTTTCAATGTCAGTCTTTATCCAAATAATTGTCAGGCTTCTAAGATTTTTGTTTTGATGGGCTCTTTAACTTTCCAAAGTTAAAGAACTGGTTGCATTACTGTAGTTTGCATCACATTACATTTGGATATGCTTAATTGGGAGGTAAATGCGAAGTATCTAATATCGAAGTAAAGAACTGAAGTTTAAGTATGATTGAAGAAGTAATTGTAGATATTTGAAAGAGCGATAAGATGTAAAGATTCTGTTAAACAAAAGGGCTACAAAAGTCACCTTTGCATAACCTGTGTTCGTGTGCAAGAGATTGGGATCAGGAAAACAGCTACCCACCCTCTAATTGCTTGGTGACTTAGAAGGAGAAGATGAGCTGGTGCTGAGGGTACAGTAACATTTGTATGGAGGACTAGCATGTCCATTGATCCCCCTGGCCTGCCTTCTCCTTTAGCTTTCACTGAAACTCTGTTTCGCTGTCTCTGGTCTGTTCTGTATCCTTTCTGTCACTTCTTCCAATGCCCAACATAGGAGAACACCACATCTTCTGGCAGATGGGCTTCAAGGAGCCGTAACTCCCAGCTGAGTAATACGATTCTGCTGCTGAAAGCAGCTGGTCTCAGCTGCTCTTGCTGCCAAGCAGGAGAGAGATTTCCGAGAGTTCACATGTACCCCTTTGTAATGAGGCCAGATTAAAAGCCTTTGACTATAAGTACCCCAAATCCTAATTTTTTCTTTTGCTTCTATTTTGGGCAGAAAAATGTATTAAAAACTTCCCTCTTAAAGGGAAAAGAGGGCAGGGACAAAGGATATTTTTCTTTACATCCTGGAAATGGGAGAAAAGAAGAGAGTCCAGAAACCTAAAAAGTTAAATCCAGCTTAAAGTTCTGGTACTTAATATCTTTGGGATTTGATGGCAATATTCCCTGAAGAATACAGCAATCTTTGTCACTAAAATGTAGCTAAATTTAAACTGACACCTATCTTGGTGATACTAAAATATTTTTAGATTTTTGTGCAATACTATATGTCCTGTTAAAGATCATGGGTTTTTTTTAGCTTATGTAATTTTATTTGCTAACATTTAACTTTGAACTGTGTATGTTATACATATTTAGTGTTGCTATGAAAATATTCAGGTGTGAAGCTGCAGAGAGTGAGGGTTTCACAACACATGTTCCTGGCCCTACTTAATGTTAGTTTTAGAGTAATTGCATTGAATCAGCCAGTTCAGTTTCAGATTATGGCCTAAAATTGATTAGAATAATCAGAGTATTAAAAGATTTTTATGAAGATGGGGGTTTGAAGTCATACACATTCAGCGGTGTAATGAAATGAAGTTATACATGTATTAGTGCCAGTTAGTTTAAAGGGACAGATGGAGGGTGAGGGCTGGGGACATTACGGGACATGATGGGCTGAGTCTATATTAGAGATGTCTGTCTTTATCTGACTCTATAACTGGGTGCTGATTTTTGCCTTAGAAGGCTTGCATTTTGCTTGCGTATGCTTATTAATGCACTTACCTGCTCTATGCAGCAACATATACAGAAGTTCTTAGGAAAAATTTATCATGCAAAGTGAAATGTGTACGTCCTAGTGGGCACAACTGGCAGATAACTTGTGTGCAATGATATTAGGTACAAATTAGATTAATGACTTTTACTCTCTGTCCTTCAGGGAACAACCCATCTTCAGCACCCGAGCTCACGTCTTCCAGATTGACCCAAACACTAAGAAGAACTGGGTTCCCACCAGCAAGCATGCTGTTACTGTGTCCTACTTCTATGACAGCACAAGAAATGTCTATAGGATAATCAGTTTGGATGGCTCAAAGGTAAGTTTTATTTCAGAAAAATTGCTTGCTTCATCAATTTTTGTATTTATCTCCTAGTCTGATATCCTTCATGTATCTTCTCAGATGCTTTTGTCATTATTTGAGTAATAAATTACTGACATGTTAAGATGGTAACATTGCTTCATTACGTGTTTTAAATGCTTCATTACGTTTTAGGTGTTTATTTGAAAATACTATTTTCCATGCATTCATATTTACTTTGAAAAATCTGTTGCTGAATTTAAGTGATGACCTGTTACATAGTTAATATTATGAGCAGGCTAAAAAGACATTCCCTGTGAGATGCACTAAAAAGTACAAATAGGGTTACAATAACCTGTTTTCGTCTCCACACATCAATATCATTGGTTTCAGCATTGTGAAGGACATCTGTTCAGTGCCTGTAATCACTTAGTAAATCCTTTGTTATGTAATCTTCCGATTTTTGCTGTAGAGAATATGAGGATTCCCTCCTAATAAATCTCTCCATGGTAAGCTTTTATCAAAATGCAGTTGGTTTGGGTTTGGGTTTTTTGGGGGGTGTTTTTCTTTTTTAATTAGAAAGGTTAATGTGTTGAGCTGCTGTTGTAAGAAACCTTGTCTAAGAAATTAATTTGATGTGGAGAAAATACTTGACTGTTCCTTAGATTCTGCCCCAAGTGGGTATAAAAACAATAACTTACAATCAGCGTATCAGAAAACTCTGCAATAAGGACATTAAAGATAGAGCGTAATCAAAAGTTGTAATCCGTTCAACTTGCACTTGCAGTTGCATTTGCAACTTCTGGAGATGCATCAGTTCATGATGGTTGGAACTGAAATACTCTGTTAAAGCATAGCAGTATTCACAGAGGTTTTGTGGCTATTGAAAGCTGAAAAATATTACCCTGATTGTTTTTTTTTTAAATATCCAGAGTATTGCTATTTTAAATGAGAAAGGAGAATTTCTATTATAAAGAAGTATACAGAAATAAATCTCATAGTCAAAAGATCTCTATATGATACTGCTTCAAGTGATTGAGACTCTGGTATCAAAGCCTACCAGAATTTTTCCAAGTTTAAGTCTTACTTTGTTTCTTCCCTTCCCAGCCTTCCTTCAAATGATTCTTTTAGTTCTGTCAAATAATTAAAACACCTTTTGTGTGACTGTTTATAAATAAAGGCTTTGGGATTGGAACTAGATGCTGTATGAAATCAAGGCTACCAGTTGTGATCTGTAGCACTTTAACTGATCTGCACAGTTTACAAAATCCTTATTCTGGTGTCCACTGGGGTTCCTCTGCCTTTGTCCAAAGCTGCAGCTCCTGCAAAGTGGCTGCTGAATTAAATTGTCAAGCCATTGTTCATCTATTTATTTGTTCTTTTGTCTACCGCAGCATTTCCTTTACATCTGCAGTACAATTGGCAAGGTGTATTGATAATGCAATCTATCACTTTTATTTACTCTCTCTGTGATTGCTGCAATCCTAATAATGTTTTCATCCAGGTGTTAGATGTCTGACTAAGATCTAGCATCCCAATCATGATTACACGTCCATTGTTTTAGGCATCACAACATCGCTCTGAAACACAGGTGAATAGCAGGAGGACCCATGGAAGAATTTTAAGGAGGTTTTCAGCATAATTCCCAGATAATTTTTTTGTTTTTAATTAAAGCGCTGTCTTTTTTAACATGTCTGCACATATACAATATAGTATGTACAAAGGGCTAAGTATAAATATAAAGCATTCTTAAGTTTGGAGTGCATCCAGATAATGTCTCTGCTATATGGCATACAGCTGAGTGTCAGTAACACTAGTGGCATCTGAGCTTGCAATGCCTTATATTGTTGATTGGTCAGACAGAAGTGTTTAATTTGCAAAGAAGAAAAAGCTATGCAATTTCATTCTCCCATTTTAAGTTTTGAAATGAAACTGAATAAAGATGATTTTGTGGTTTGTTTTTTTTTTAAAAAAAAAACAAATTTTACATAGAAAATATCTCAAATACACATGTTGCTAGTGGCCAAAAACACTTGTTGAACCATACTGGTTTTGAAGCTGTCATGCTCCTCCCTCAGAGGGAATAGATCCAACCAGGTTTTGTTGTATACCTTGGTGCTGGTGGGGTTTACAGGACCTTGTGGGTTTGTACAGTGGAGAGAATGATGTGCATGTGGCTGCTCAGTTGCAGTGGTTCTGGTGCAGAGCAGTAAGTCTTTTATTCTAAGTAAGTCTTTTATTCTAAGTCAGTCAGTAAGGGATGGGAACTCATACATATGTTGACTTAGACTGCAACAAGGAAAGTTTCAGAGAGATATACTTCAGGTTTGAGTGATAATCCTATTTCTGTCCCACACCCTTCCCTCTCTTTAGGTCAGTGGGTTTCAGTAGGATTCCTGGATAAAATTTAACTTCTGTACTGATTGTCTGAAAGTCATTAAATCTTTCTTCTTGAAAACAAGAGGACGTTTTTAAGACATGATCTTCGCTCAGCTCTGAGGGTTGCTATTGTACATTGCAGATTCCCACTTGAATTTGCTTGTGGGGTCTTTGGTGAATTTTGAGAGAGATATTTTTTTTTCCTTATTCCATATCAATGGGTCTATGAGCCAGATTCAGCTGACATAGGTCCTATAGAAGCAAGTTCTGCTTGTTTTTAATGCATTGCGTGTAATGGTGTTTTCTGAACCTACAGTCTCCTCTTAAAATACCTTGCACAAGAAATCATGCATCTCCCTCTAACTTGACTACAGAAAATGTTCTAGGACCATAAGGTGTTCCGTGTACAGGCCATATTTTATAGTGACGTACAGTATCTGGATCCCTGTTGCTCATCGCAGGGAGATCCTGATGCAAATAATCTGATAGAAGTCAAGGCTGGTTTCTGTGACCTCTTGAGTAAATATCTTTTATGAGACCTTTTTCTCCTGCCACTCTAGGAATCAAGAGAAAGCCTGAAAAATAAAATTTCTTATGCAATATGACATGACAACGCTGAGCAGTTGTTGCTAAGGCTTCCAGTTCTCATTAATTATATAGTCATTTCATAGCTCCTTGGAAAAATGTGTTTTAGTTACTCCTTTCTCCTAGGTGATGGAAGGAAGCCTCCATTATTTCTCCAGTAACACTGCAGACAGACACTAGGATTATTCCCAGAATCCCACTGTCTTTTCCATTCAATCTCTGGCAGTCACTGAGAAAAAAAAGGAGATAAGTAACATGTTTCCTGCAGTATTTGTTAACTCTCTGATAATTTTTTCACAGGTGCAAGATAGGAAAAAATCCCTAATGATTTGTGCTCATCTAAAACAAGACTCTGGAAAAGAGTGGTTTTCCAGTCTGTAGGTTCCATGAGCCTTGTATATATTACTTCTGAGTCAAGTCTCCCATCAGTGTTACTGCAATAGATGATCTTTACGTTTTCATGACAGTTATAAAACAAACTAGTCACACATTAAAGTGATAACCTGTTTAGTGCTAAATACAGTTTCAAGTAAGGCTTGTAAGCACAGGTCTTCAGTGATCTTCCTTTGAAGAAGTTAAAAAATACTGTGTGTCTTAATTATTGTTGCTATCAATTTTAGCACTAGATAAAATCATATTTGACCACTGCTGTATACCTTGCAGCTGTTGGGTTTGCAGTCAGTAAAATGAACAGCTAAGACACATGCCCTATTTTCTTATAGCTAAACTAATATGAAAGGAAAACATGAAAGCTGTTTCATTATTCCAACAAAATCTAAAGATAACAAAATCCATTTTCTTCAAAAGCTAAATGTCTGCCTGTCAGATTGACTCTGTTCTGTTTTTAAGATATTCTTGTACATTTATACTAACAGCATTCTTAAAAGTTGATGAAACACTTGATGCTTGTTATACTAGTAACTCTACAGTGAAATCTGGTGTAGAGGAGAGTAGTTAAAGGAGTACTTATTTGAGTAGGCAAGACAGGCTTAATTATAAGTTCTAATTTAAAAAATAAATCTTTTTTTTTTAAGCTAAAGATATGAAGGGTTCATATCTAGTATTTTCCAGAAGTAGCTGACGCTGACTGTATCTGTAGTATGCTCTAGCATTGCACTTTTTAGAAGCATAATTAATTTAGCATGTCAGAGATCTAGCTTAATAATAATAAATAAAAAAATAATAGTAATTAGTGCTTTTAATTCAGAGAAGATTGAAAGCCTTGATTTCCTTGTAAAATTTGTAAATCTAGTGAAAGGGCTCTTTTTTGTATCACCGGGATCTGAATGTAGTCTTCCCAGTCCGAAACTTGCTGTCTTTGGACTGATACTGTCCACTGGAGTGGAGCCGCTTCATTTTTCTCTGCTGGAAAATAAAGGGAAGAATCACAGCAACTCTTTCTCAACACAGTTGTTTTTTAAAAAGTTTTCTTCCTATCTTTCTCCCTTGCAAGGAAGCAATTTAACAGTCACTGTAACCCAGCCTAAATGCAGACTGCTGTCAAAACAGATATCCTATTCTGGTCCAGGCAACCTGTTCTGAGTTCTCTTGTACAGCCAGCCGCGTGGTCAGCTGAAGCACTGAGCGGTCTCAGCTAAAAACTGATTGGTTTCTCCAAGGTTTTTTGCTGGGTTGATTTGCAACCAGATATGCCACTGCAGCAAATGCCAGTCCTGCAGGCTTTAAACCTGCCTGTTGCTTGGAGGTCATAAGTCCCTATCCATAGAGTCAGCTTCTACGTTGAGGAAGTTACGTCCATGACCTAACATGCACACTCTCAAATCTGTGATGTAAATTCAAATTAATCAAGCAATGGATGGAACTAGGGCTTATGCAAGCTAGACAACACAGCTAGAGCTTGATTTGGGAGGAAGACTCTCTTCTACACTGTCCCCAGGATATTTAATTTCAAACATATTACTGTTGACAGCTTTCACAGCAAGAGAGATTGAGGTTTAAGTGAACTTGCACAACTTTGTTCAAGGCTTCCACCACGTTATTTCAGAAGTGGGCTTCCAAGCATTAACAGTGTACAAGAAGACGAGAAGCATACAAGAAAAAAAAGAGCTCCAGAACACCTCCTTTCCAAGAAGTCCACCTGCCTTTCTCACATTATCTCTTCTGTCCTATGTGGCATAGACAGCCATTTTCTATGAGCTCTGTTGGAGGCCATGGTGCAAGTGCAAGCGTGCTGCCTTTAGTTGGGCTCTGAACCTTATGCCTAAAAAAAGGAGAATGATGTTTGAATTACCAGTGACTTCACTGACAAGCTTCTCCTATATGAAAATCTGAGGATACATTTCGCGAACAATTAATGCCGGAAATGGTTCTCCAGTCTCTGATCACACAGGAAATCCTGGTTTTGACCTGATGAGGCTTGTTGGTACAAACGTAAGTTTTTTGGCATTCCAAAATTTTCCAGGTGTTGTTCACAACGATAGCCAAAACTTGCATTTTGAGGCAAAGGTTATCAGAGAGAATTGCCTGTTTGATATCCTCAGCTACACCCAGATTTGCTCTTCTAATTTAACGCGAGTATAGCGGAGCTGCCAAAGCCACTGCAGAAGATGCCAGTTCTGTTAAATTTGTCTGTGCTGCCATATTGTTGCTTGTCTTTCTACATGTTGCAATACAATGTGTTCTTCTGAACTTTCTTGCGGTACTCCACCACTTCATCTGAGAATCACTATATGCACATGGCAACTCTTTTTGGGCTTAGCTGCCCCCTCAGCTGTAAATTTTTCAGACTTGCCCTGCAGGGCAGAATTCAAAATTTATGTTGATCGTAGCTGTGCTCCAGTGCTACCCAAATCTCAGCAAAAGCAAAGGGGGCTAAGTAAACTCCCTAACTACTCATTTTAATATCCACCCAGAAGGCCATCTCATACAAGTAGTATAGACTAATTTTGACTTCTAGAATGTCTTGAGCTTGGAAGAGCAGTACTTGGTCCCTCTGGTGTTGAAGTTTCTCACTGTCACCATCCCGAGAAAATACTGCTATTCTCTATGCATCTATACAGTTCCTGCCATTCAGAGAATAAAAGAAAGATTTCATTATTTACGACGGAGAAGATGTTTTAGTCCCTGTGGATTTTGTTGCTGCTCTAGGATTCTTCAGTAATCACTCGCTTTAACCTGCCAGGGGTAAGGCAGGGGTTGTGGTTTCATGGAAGCAGGAAACATTCACGCTGATGTTCAAAAGATTCCCAACTTGGTACTGTAAGACAGTTGCAGTAGGACACATACTGACAATAACCTTTGGAGCACAGTAACTGGCACGTAAGAAAGATTCTTGCTGAATTGTTCTGCTCACAGTGTGTGCTATTTCCTGGGAAGTTTTAAGGACGTTCTCTTTCACGTGGGTGTTACAAAGTACCAATGATTCATGAAAAGGGCTGTGAATTATTTAACAAATGTGGCTGAAACTCTTAGTAGCACCAGGCAGGTGAGAAAGCCTGCCTGCATTTCACTTCAAATACACCTGTCTTTGGGTTTATGGCTAGCCTTTCTTGTTCATGTTGGCTGGTTGTAAACTGTACTAACCATCAGATTTTTAGTTAAATGGAATCCATTGGTTTCACTATAAGACTTTATCCTGACATACTTTAAATCAGCTGGACAGTTCCACATCGCAGGTTTAGAATATGTTAGGCAAACTTTAATGTGATAGAAATACTGTTGAAATCCATGATAAATCTGTAGTTGCTTTTAGTGGAACCAGCATATCATCTAATAGTTGCATTTTTTGTTTGCATTAGCAGAAGTTGAATGCTGGAGGATGTGCTTCTTCCATCCTGTATGTAACAAGAACTAGAAAAGAAAAATGATTCTTAGAGTAGCTCTTCTTTTGTAGTTGGTATATGACCCCGTCGCTGTTAGACATGCTTGTCTAAAGCATACTTGTATAAAGGAAAAACAGATTCTTACAATACAGAAACTTAAAAAGAAATTGTCCTTCTTGTTTTATTGCATGTTTTCCAGTGAGAATCACATACGCAGCGGGGGTGGGCGGAATGCAACAGTGAAGCTTACAGTGGAGCTTGAGAGGCGTTGCCTTAGGGGACAAAGAAATACACTTGTGAGACAAAAAAGGACTTTGCTAGTTATTCTGATCTCATTAACCTATGTAGATGCTTTAAAGGACTTTTTTTAGACTTGGTAACTACTAAATGACTGCTTACAAATGCAAACAGGTGTGTGTGTGTCCCCAGCTTTTGCTCCTTTTACAGAATGTATGTGAAAATATGCTTTTGTAATTTTAGCTGTGATTGAATTAGAAAACTGACTACAATATTGGCATTTTCAATTACGAGTAGTTTTTAAAAGAAAAAATCAAAACCACAAAACCCCATTTTTACAACTATTACTTTTTTTCAGGCAATAATAAATAGCACTATCACCCCCAACATGACGTTTACTAAAACATCCCAGAAGTTTGGCCAATGGGCAGACAGCAGGGCAAATACAGTCTATGGCTTGGGATTTTCATCTGAACATCACCTTTCAAAAGTAAGTATGACCAGTGGTAACTATTCAGCTAGTCAAGCTGCTTAAAAATATTTGATTCCTTGACTCAGTGCTCACTACTGTTGTTATTTAAAAATAACTTATGAAAAAATGTTCTTTATCAATCCTTATAATGTAAAAAGACAAGACAAAGTGTGATACCTGCAAATTTTCTTTTAACTGATGGAGGAAAGAAGGGGGATTTAAGCTATCAGAGTATATGTTGTTAATGCTTTCTAATAATTCATTTGTTAGGTTTCTCTTTTTAAAAAATTATTCTTCCATTACAGTTTTTCATGATAGAATTTAAAGGAGTAGACAATTTAGTGTTTCTTCTGTACTTAGATCTCCTAGAAAAAATATTGTTGGTAGTCTTCAGATGCATTTTTTTCTTTTAAGCCACATTCACTTTCACTTTTCTACTAGAAAGTGCATCAAATTACAGATAATTTCAACATCTGCGGTCTTAAAGTGAAGCTAGTGGGAAATATATTCAATGTAAAAGAAAACTATATTTTCTCGTTGGAATACAAAAGTTGAAATGTTTACTAAAGAAATTCTGTGCCATACGTGAGTTGTTGTTGTTTTTTTTTCTCATCTACTTGTGCAGGAGGGAAGTACACCTTATTCTGAGGAAAGCAGTAACCCCTGTTTCTCAAAGTGATGGTATAGTGCCTCTGAGCACCTTCTCTTCCATACCTATTGCTACTGATACTACTCTGATAGTCCAGGAACCTGTACAAGCCAGTGTCATTTTTCTCCAGATGAGAAATTTCAGTTCAGTTTAAGAACATGTCTTTACATTAAGCAGAGTATTTTCATCTTTGAAGGATACAAAAGGTCTGGAAACCCAAGTGCAATGAAAGGAATGTATAGTACATGTTTAAGTAAGGAATAATGATTGGCTTGTTATTTAAAAAAAATAATCATACCAACGCTTTTGAGAAAGTAATTGTCACTATCCAAGGATAAGCATGGGCCTGTTAGAAAACCATTCAAATGAGAACCGGTACATCTGCTTTATTTGGACAAGTGTTACATTTGTAAAATTTCTTCGTTTCATAATCAGATAGCTTTCATTTCCATGAAGCAACACAAACACAGGAAATTCTGAATGCCACTAGTATTGCATGTGTGTTTGTGCACCTATCACTGCTTCAGTGAACTTGGAAAATTTGTCACTCACTTAAATTGGTGTGTATGTCCTAGAGGCACTTGCTTACCAATGTGGTAATAACTTTTCTTAGTATTTCACTGGATTTAGCATAAATGCTGATTTAGTTTACCTCTCTCAGACTAGCTCGTTTTCCTTAATCACAGAATGCTTCTTTGGAGGCAAAGTATCATGCTGTAGTCATGCACACTCTGTGTTTGCCTGACTTTAAACACTAGGTTATCCTTGCCAGTGGAAATATTTGGCGTTTTTTATCTGTCCTATCCTTGACTCTTGCTCTCCGCATGTGGTACTTACTGCCTTCTTAATTACAGTTGTTTCAATCCCATTCTTTCACTGACCTCAAACAGATGTGTAAGAGTTTTAATCATGCCCTTGGCTTAAGACTTTATATTGCTGTTGAAAAATAATCTGAAAAGCTACAGTAGATATTTTGTCTTAAGTACGTTTGATTAGCAGTGACTCAGATTGCTGTGTTTTACGAAGAATATGCAAATCTGTTGAGAAAAATACCAAGTCGCAGACCTTTTCTGAAGCTTATGGTTATGAATCTTCAGGACCTTTTCAGCAAACTGTTCCTGTTGTATTATATCTTAATTATCAAACAGATATTCGTGTGAGTTGAAATTGCTGATCGTTCCTACTAAAATCCATGAAGGTAAAACTTTTTGTGTTATTTTAAAATTAACAAACGTATTTGATGGGGGAAAGGAAAATTTTCTTTAGATTACAGTCTATCCAGTCACTGGAGTTGGTAAATATATTGGTCTTGGAACCAGAAAAGCTGAATTAGAAACCCTGGATCTGCTGTCTAACTTTAGAGAAATCACATCTATCGTCTCTTTCTTGTCTTGTCTCTCTGCTCAGATTACTAACTCTCACTTCTGTGCGCTGGCATTGTAGTCAGGTTTACCAGAGCACTCTTTGGTACACCTAGCACTGTAGGACATGAAATCCAATTTAGGGCTCAAGGTACTACTGGATATTAGTAATAAGGCTAACAAATAAACGGTGTTAATGGGTTTGTTCAGAAACAGGGTGCTTCTGGAAGTTGCCTTAAAAATTGATTCTGGAACTTCTTTTCTGTATTTTGATTTATCAAAGTCCTTAAGTGAACCGCCCTGTTGTATGTAACTTGTTCTGCAATAGTGTCTCTGGGCCCCAGGGAAATATTTGAAGTTCCAGGGAGCAGAAGACAGCCTGCAACCGCAAAAAACTTAGTCTAGTCTGTGACTGATTTCAACACATTAATGAAGCAAATAATCAGAGCAGATAAGAATAAACTGTTTATTCTCAGGTCATTGTCTGCTTAGCTTATAGTAAATGTTTGACTTTTAGGTTATTTGGGTTTGGTTCATGTGCCTTTGTCCTCCTAAACTAATTACTAGGGTAGAGTGCAACAGTGGTAACCTCCTTCTGTACAATTATTGTGACTGAGAATTAGCAGAGTGAGAATATCTGATAGAAAAATAATGGCACTCTAATCAACTCCATACACAAATAGTATAGAAGGAAACTAATTGAACATTTATTTATCTTCATTAGACCTTTTCTCAATATGTTAGACAACAAATTCACCTCAAGATTGTTCCATCATAAGTCAGCGATACCTGAAAGATGATGCCTATGTTGAAGAATATTCTTTTCTCAGGATCAGGATTTGCTGGCAGAGTCCCTCTTGCTGCAGTAGGAGGAACAGAATGTCCCATGATTTTCAGAAAAAACTGAGATGGCTTTCTCATTCAGAATATAAGTCTGTGCTGTTGATAGTATCCTGATACATGAGAAGAAATATTGCTTTCCAGGTTTGCTGTCTGTCTTACCCCTTTGAATTAGTTGACCTGATTTATTCCACATAACTTAAGAGTATGCTAAATGGTAAAAGTGCCACCACAGATACTTGTAAGAGCCTCTTGTAGTCTCCCTGCACAATTTTTCATCTTTTCCTTAAAATACTGATCTTCCAGAGAACCTTTTCTTTCATACCATGAGATCTCTGTTATCAGGAGATTGCTATTATCCATAACCTAACTGCCTCAAGGAATTCTAGTAAATTTATGAAAATTTCTACTACATTAGCCTTGTTGGCTCTTTCTTAGAATGTTACCTATTTATGTGTCTATTATATATTTTTTCACATTTTCCACCACTGTGATACAGAAGATCATACTTACTGCCTTGTGTGTCTTCAGCCATTTATTCTAAGCCTCAGCATCATGTTTTCCATTTACCAATCCTCTAATCTTAAAGCTGATTTAAATAATAGGTTACCCATCAGATTTTGAGGTCTATGTACAAATCTTAAATAAGTATCTAGTTCTGGTCATCTGTTGCCAATTTTATCATCTGTTCTGAGTCGGTTTTTGATGCTGGATTAGACTTTCAGGGTGGTATCTTTTTGTCTCCTTCTCTATTCAAGAAATGTATGCTTTTAAATAACCTGACAGGTGAAATATAGGATACAAGTGGAGAGAAAATATATTTCCTCAAATACTAATAGTCTACCAGGAGAAGAAGTTTAAAGACAATAAGGTTTTTAAGGTCTTGCATAGCAAGTGAAGTTCTGATTGAAAATAGTTGAGGAGATTGTGTCACACAAAGGGTAACCTTCGTCCCTTCTAAATACATGCGGTGCAAAACACTTTCTATGTGTGCTGCTGCTGGAGAGATGTAGGAGCTGTTAGTGAAGCTTCCAATGTTTTTGCAGAATGATTTCAGTCTTAAGCTGATCATAATAATATAATATTCTGTTTAAAGCAGTAGGAAAGAAAAACAAATGCTTGGCTACTATAGCAATTAGTGTAGTGTCAAGCTGAGATCTGTGAAGCCAAATTTTTCTCTAGCCAGACAAACTAGGCCTTATTCTTAATAAATTGATTTAATCTCTCAAGTTCAAGGGTGCATTTATTTCTAAATTGCTGCTTTAGCTATTTTCTGGAAGAGGTACAGTAGCATAGAAATTAAGCTTCATATGGCAGTTCAATGTGCAATTCTTGAATTTAGTGTTTAGTATATGCAAGTGCTTAGTTCAATGAATTTGTTCTTTAACTTGATTGATGTCAATGAACAATCAAGCAATGAACTTGACTCAATATTCCCACTGCTGCTTTTGTAATTAGCTATTGAAATTATAAATGCTGTTAAAATTTGGGAAGAAATCAGTCTTGTTTCAGTCATGAAAGAATGAAGCCCATTGAAAGCTCTAGGCTAATAGTGACCACAATAGGCTTCAGAACCAGATCATTTGTTGTCAGGAGGAGAGTACAACCTGACACTGAAAGCAGCTGTGTAAGGCAGTTTATCACTATTATGAGCCGTTTCTGAGGTGACGCTTTTTAACACTATCAGCAACAGATCAAACTTTGTTGCATCATAATTTTCCTGACATATGAACAGTGTACATTATGTCTGAAAGGTACTGAAAGGTGTATCACTGTGTAACTCACTTAAATGACTATCTAATAAGGAGAAAAATTTTTAAAAATCTACTGACAGAATTTGACTTTGTAAAATGTTAAGTACAGCATTCTGTTCTGCATGTAATGTACTATTTCACGCCTACTCTTTCTCTTTTTCCTTTTTTTTTTTTTTTAAACATATGTACCTTCAGTTTGCTGAAAAATTTCAGGAATTCAAAGAAGCTGCACGACTAGCAAAGGAAAAATCCCAAGAAAAGATGGAGCTAACAAGTACACCCTCTCAAGTGAGTCTTACTGCCTGATTCAAGCCTAGTACTTCATATTTGTGCTACTTACTATATTGTGTCTTACACACGCATGCTGTATTAAAAATGAATGGGATACTTCCCAGTTACCCTGAATCCTCTCAGCCGTCAGGTAGAAGTGTCAAGAAGTCTAAGAATACATTTAACGTACAGTACAGAAATGTCAAAGGGACTTGCTCTAAAATAAAATTGGCCTTTTGTTTATTCCTATTCCTTTCTCTGAGCTTTTTCCAGAAAATTAGTAAATATGGTAAGTGGTTATGTAAGTAAATCTACAGTAAACACCTTTTGTGTTTTTTCTTATTGTATCTATGAAACTTCAGGCAGTGCACTGTAAAGGATTTTTATAGAAGAATCATTACAACAAAAATCAAAGCCAAACCAGCAAACTATTTTTACTTATTTCCCACTGTGTACTATTCACTTGTGAAATGTGTTGAAGGAAGATGACAGATTCACATGCTGGTTCTGGAGTTTTATTACAGTTAGCCATGATGTAAAAGAAGAGTTTATAAAAGGTATCTCTGAACATGAACTGGGTTAATATAGGCCTAACAGGAGGATAAATTAACGTAGCCACATTTACATTAGTCATGCCTAACATTAATTTACTTGAAAATGAATACT